CCATCTTCTCGTCAACACTGGTCGCATTCGACTCCAACTCACACTGCACACAAACATTCCACTAATCACTCACCACTCACTCGACAGCCCATTCCGTCACACTACACAAAACAACACCTCAGTGCACCGGTCACACGCACACACATATCCACCTTTCCACACCACAATCAAACATCCACACTCACACAACAAACACAAAGCAGTACAACAAACACAACAACAACAAAAACAACATCAACAACAACCTCACACACCGCCAACCACATCACGCGCATCAATCAGCTTGCACTCACTGAACTAGACTACACTCAACACGCACAATACACTGAGGCAAATCAGTGAGACTTACCCAGTGGTCCGACTGTGGTCGTTCGCCTCCTGCGTCGTCGGTGTTCAGCAATCACTTTTCCCAGTTTGTCTGTCACGTTCACCAATTCTTCTTCTCCAGGTGTCGTCGATCCGCCTACAACACACAACGAGAACACTCAGTCGATCAGCATTCACCCACACTCGTCAATAACACACTGTCTCCATCACAATCTCACTAACTCTCACACACATTCACTCAACATGCATTCACATCGGCAGAAAAACAACAAATACACCAAATAGTCAACCACACACACAAACTCACCTATTCATCACTCACTCAGCAATTGCACAAGCACGCACACACACACACACACACACCAATTGACACAACAACCTAAATCCATGTGGCCAACCGTCTCATTTTCTCTCACTCTATCACGCAATCACTGAGTCTCACTCTCTCACTCTATCAATCATTATCGCACTCACTCAAATCAACACTATTCATCACACCGATTGACACTGTGACCGTCTCAAAACAACTTGTCCACTATCCGACAAACTCACTCTCACACACACTCATCAACATCCATCTTCTCGTCAACACTGGTCGCATTCGACTCCAACTCACACTGCACACAAACATTCCACTAATCACTCACCACTCACTCGACAGCCCATTCCGTCACACTACACAAAACAACACCTCAGTGCACCGGTCACACGCACACACATATCCACCTTTCCACACCACAATCAAACATCCACACTCACACAACAAACACAAAGCAGTACAACAAATACAACAACAACAACAACAACAACAACCTTACACACCGCCAACCACATCACGCGCATCAATCAGCTTGCACTCACTGAACTAGACTACACTCAACACGCACAATACACTGAGGCAAATCAGTGAGACTTACCCAGTGGTCCGACTGTGGTCGTTCGCCTCCTGCGTCGTCGGTGTTCAGCAATCACTTTTCCCAGTTTGTCTGTCACGTTCACCAATTCTTCTTCTCCAGGTGTCGTCGATCCGCCTACAACACACAACGAGAACACTCAGTCGATCAGCATTCACCCACACTCGTCAATAACACACTGTCTCCATCACAATCTCACTAACTCTCACACACATTCACTCAACATGCATTCACATCGGCAGAAAAACAACAAATACACCAAATAGTCAACCACACACACAAACTCACCTATTCATCACTCACTCAGCAATTGCACAATCACGCACACACACACACACACACACCAATTGACACAACAACCTAAATCCATGTGGCCAACCGTCTCATTTTCTCTCACTCTATCACGCAATCACTGAGTCTCACTCTCTCACTCTATCAATCATTATCGCACTCACTCAAATCAACACTATTCATCACACCGATTGACACTGTGACCGTCTCAAAACAACTTGTCCACTATCCGACAAACTCACTCTCACACACACTCATCAACATCCATCTTCTCGTCAACACTGGTCACATTCGACTCCAACTCACACTGCACACAAACATTCCACTAATCACTCACCACTCACTCGACAGCCCATTCCGTCACACTACACAAAACAACACCTCAGTGCACCGGTCACACGCACACACATATCCACCTTTCCACACCACAATCAAACATCCACACTCACACAACAAACACAAAGCAGTACAACAAACACAACAACAACAACAACAACAACAACAACCTCACACACCGCCAACCACATCACGCGCATCAATCAGCTTGCACTCACTGAACTAGACTACACTCAACACGCACAATACACTGAGGCAAATCAGTGAGACTTACCCAGTGGTCCGACTGTGGTCGTTCGCCTCCTGCGTCGTCGGTGTTCAGCAATCACTTTTCCCAGTTTGTCTGTCACGTTCACCAATTCTTCTTCTCCAGGTGTCGTCGATCCGCCTACAACACACAACGAGAACACTCAGTCGATCAGCATTCACCCACACTCGTCAATAACACACTGTCTCCATCACAATCTCACTAACTCTCACACACATTCACTCAACATGCATTCACATCGGCAGAAAAACAACAAATACACCAAATAGTCAACCACACACACAAACTCACCTATTCATCACTCACTCAGCAATTGCACAAGCACGCACACACACACACACACACACCAATTGACACAACAACCTAAATCCATGTGGCCAACCGTCTCATTTTCTCTCACTCTATCACGCAATCACTGAGTCTCACTCTCTCACTCTATCAATCATTATCGCACTCACTCAAATCAACACTATTCATCACACCGATTGACACTGTGACCGTCTCAAAACAACTTGTCCACTATCCGACAAACTCACTCTCACACACACTCATCAACATCCATCTTCTCGTCAACACTGGTCGCATTCGACTCCAACTCACACTGCACACAAACATTCCACTAATCACTCACCACTCACTCGACAGCCCATTCCGTCACACTACACAAAACAACACCTCAGTGCACCGGTCACACGCACACACATATCCACCTTTCCACACCACAATCAAACATCCACACTCACACAACAAACACAAAGCAGTACAACAAACACAACAACAACAACAACAACATCAGCAACAACAACAACATCAACCTTACACACCGCCAACCACATCATGCGCATCAATCAGCTTGCACTCACTGAACTAGACTACACTCAACACGCACAATACACTGAGGCAAATCAGTGAGACTTACCCAGTGGTCCGACTGTGGTCGTTCGCCTCCTGCGTCGTCGGTGTTCAGCAATCACTTTTCCCAGTTTGTCTGTCACGTTCACCAATTCTTCTTCTCCAGGTGTCGTCGATCCGCCTACAACACACAACGAGAACACTCAGTCGATCAGCATTCACCCACACTCGTCAATAACACACTGTCTCCATCACAATCTCACTAACTCTCACACACATTCACTCAACATGCATTCACATCGGCAGAAAAACAACAAATACACCAAATAGTCAACCACACACACAAACTCACCTATTCATCACTCACTCAGCAATTGCACAATCACGCACACACACACACACACACACCAATTGACACAACAACCTAAATCCATGTGGCCAACCGTCTCATTTTCTCTCACTCTATCACGCAATCACTGAGTCTCACTCTCTCACTCTATCAATCATTATCACACTCACTCAAATCAACACTATTCATCACACCGATTGACACTGTGACCGTCTCAAAACAACTTGTCCACTATCCGACAAACTCACTCTCACACACACTCATCAACATCCATCTTCTCGTCAACACTGGTCACATTCGACTCCAACTCACACTGCACACAAACATTCCACTAATCACTCACCACTCACTCGACAGCCCATTCCGTCACACTACACAAAACAACACCTCAGTGCACCGGTCACACGCACACACATATCCACCTTTCCACACCACAATCAAACATCCACACTCACACAACAAACACAAAGCAGTACAACAAACACAACAACAACAACAACAACAACAACAACCTCACACACCGCCAACCACATCACGCGCATCAATCAGCTTGCACTCACTGAACTAGACTACACTCAACACGCACAATACACTGAGGCAAATCAGTGAGACTTACCCAGTGGTCCGACTGTGGTCGTTCGCCTCCTGCGTCGTCGGTGTTCAGCAATCACTTTTCCCAGTTTGTCTGTCACGTTCACCAATTCTTCTTCTCCAGGTGTCGTCGATCCGCCTACAACACACAACGAGAACACTCAGTCGATCAGCATTCACCCACACTCGTCAATAACACACTGTCTCCATCACAATCTCACTAACTCTCACACACATTCACTCAACATGCATTCACATCGGCAGAAAAACAACAAATACACCAAATAGTCAACCACACACACAAACTCACCTATTCATCACTCACTCAGCAATTGCACAATCACGCACACACACACACACACACACACACCAATTGACACAACAACCTAAATATA